AAGTGTCTTGTTGTGTATGGGCCTACACACTACATCTGTGTTTGTATTAAGAAGAAAAGCTGTTCTACAAGACATTCAGTCATTTTAAAATGTATTTTTGTTCTGAACTGAAACAGGAAGTTTTACCCTGTAATAAAATTTAGGAAATTTTTAATTCCAAAAATCTTGTTATTGAGCATACTTGAAACATTGTGTCAGTAATGTTGAAACGCTTTCTGACATTAAAATTGAAATATTGCATGTCCACATATGTCACTAAAATAGTTAGAACCAACTGCTAACTAAGCATGCTGGGATTGCCTGTGTTGTATATTAACGCTCCTCAGATACAGAAAAGAGCTGTGATCTGGTCTAGCTTCTTGGCTGAGGTGCAGTGTTCCATGAACACTGTTTTTCAGCCTAGCAGTAAAACAAGGATATTCATTTGTGCACAATGTAGTGCTGGACCTACTAAACCCTGCTCAGTCCAAACAGATATAGGTAGGGACATCACAAGTGTCTTGTACCAAGTCTTTGTTGTGAGTGCTTCAGGAATGTAGGGCATAGACCCTATGCTTGTGCTTGTAGGTGGTTTGGGTCTTCCTCAGCTTATTGGTTCTGGCTCAGATGTGTCCAAGATGATTCCACACTGTCCAGGAGCCATGATAATTTGGGCACTGAGCCCTCTTTTGCATCCGATGCTGTACATGACAACTGAGCCCCTCTGGAGCTGAGGGCTGCAACTCTGCAGAAGCCAGGCTGGGTGCAGAACTGAGCTGCAGCTACTCCAGCTCAAGCTGTGTCTTTACAAAAACCTTAAGGTTCCCTTCCCTGAGTTCCCCAAGCCTGTCCTGCCATAGACATCCCAGTACCTGTGGACTGCAGCCTGGCTTTAAAATTAAAAGCTAAAATGACAAAATCAAAGCTAAACATGTTTTGGTAACTTCTTACTGACTGTTTTACCATAATTAATTGTCATTTTCTTGAAGAAGTTTCAGTATTGTGGAATCAGCCTTCACTATAAGGAAACTGACGGATTGGAAAAAATTCAAGCAGCTCTGTGAGTATATATCAAGAATGATAGACAAAGTCTTACCAGACTGAATATATTGTTTGTTCTGCCTGTCTCTAGTTACAGTGGCTGTTCAAAAGGGATTAGATAACTATGAATAGTCTCTGAAAACGAATCATACAAATCCTCTGTTTCCCCTGCTCTTCAAGTTAGTCTCTCTTCCCAGCCTCATTGCCTGATGGATCAAGGAGAGTTGATCTCCAGGCCAAGAGCTTTTTTGGGTATATGGGCTTAAGAAGACTGAAGCAATTGCTTTAGAAGGGAATATTTCCATGGCCCAAGCATATTGTACATGTGGTGAAATTTATTCAGACAAATGTTTTATCTAAATGTTTTATCTAAAATGGCCTTTCCTGTGTAAGTCTCTAGGTAGTTATGGCTTTGCTTTGATGTCCTCTCCTTTTCTTTTGGGGTTGAAACAAATATCTGTGGTCCATAGCCTTTGTGTCCCTATCAGCTTCTGGGTCAGCTGGCCAGCAGAGAAGTTGTCCAATCCCATTTTTGAGAGATGTTCTGTCATCTTTTAAGGTCTCAACTCTAGCAAAACATAAACTAGTAAATTTAGCTGGAACCTGTGAATATCGCCTCTTAAGACAGACCCCTTTGCCCTTGCTTGGCTTCTCTCTTACTCTTTCTGTAAGAAATTAGGGCAACCCCTAGTACCCAATCAACAGAATTCTTTGGATTCAGATGTGCGTAAGAATAGGAGTGGGAACCTGGATCCTATGTTCATAGCAGTCATAATGATTATTTTCTTATTTTACTGCAGTTACTACATGTACAGTCATATTTCTGTCTGAAGAAACAGAACGCCTTCACAAACGAGTACAAAAAGATGCATGTTTTCCCAAGCCTGAACTTACAAGCTTGTATGTACTTTACTGTCATCTGACACTTATTGTTAGAATATATTTTACATAATGACAGTGACAGCCACATATTCTGAGAGAAAAAAGACTGTATTGAACTATATACTGTGTGTCACTGATAATGACTTGCAGCAGTATTTCCATAAAAGTAAAGACTAATTTAGCACTCGAAAGTCAGGCCTCAAAACAAAAATAAAATGCTTTTCTGTTTCTGTACCTTGCCTAGGATTTATCTCACCTCACTGTAGACATCGACAGTGTAGACACATATGGTAGAACCCATCACCCCAAGCTCCCTTTGCAGGCAATACAGGGAGCAGGCACTTTTAGGCCATGATTCATCTGACCTATTTACATGTCTGCTGTAGGAGGAGATGAATCACTGCCTAGACTAGATCTTTGCGGAGGATAAAGGGAGCCTAAGATGGCCAGCACAGATGTAGATGCTTGTAAAGATCTACAGTTTCAATTTAAGCTTGCAGTTTGGAACAACAATTTTCAGAGAAGAGTAAAATTTCCTAAGCCGTGTTTCCTAGCAGAATGTGTGTATGAATATATACTTATATGGTATTTTTCTTTCTGCAACAGAAACATTTGCAATAATATCTTTTGAACACTGGCCCTATATCTCCATCTCCAAATGTTCTACCATCGGAAGAGCTGCCTCTGCCCCTCTTCCACACATACAGACGTGTACACATACTGTGTTTCAGAACTGGACCTCCTGAATTTTCAGCATTAACACAAAATATATTCCTCTGTATGTGGTAGCCTGTAACGGAGCTGCTGTTACACAGAGACAGATATATTAACTGTTTTGGTTTTTTTTAAAAAAAACCAAAGCAAAATATGCAAACAAAATCACCAAATGAAGATTTCTCAAATGTGCTTCTATTTAAAAATAGCAATTTTTTTAGTTTGTTTTTTTTCCTTCTAGAATCTGCTCTGCTCTACCTGCAGTCTTGGTGAGGCAGGGCATCATAGGAAGAGGAACATCAATTTTTGGGCGACAAGTACTGATGCAGAGGAAGGGGGAAGACAAGACTTGATCATCTAAGAAAGTGTGCAAGTTCTCAAGTGAAGATCTGAGAAGACAAGAGAGAGGTAATGTTGCATTATTATGTATAGAAGATCAGAGTTGAGAGGGTCTGGTTTCTGGAGAGTAAGGATGATGTCCTCCCATGTGCACTCCTGTGCACATGCTGTACTGTAATGTTCCAGTGCATCTAAACACCCGTCCAGACTGGAAATGGCACGAGGGTAATATTTTAAAAACAGAAGAAGAAATGAAGCCACCCTCTTGCAGAGCTTTACAATGCTCATCTGTTTCCAAGGAGTGCTTGGTGTAGCTACAGTAGACAAAACATCCCTCCCATCTAAGGCTCTGGCACACAGCACAGCAATCCATTTATGTGAGCACCTGGTTGATCAGTTTGCTTCTGACAGATCTTGGCACACCCTCTCCTCTGGCTGTAAAGCTTTACTGACTTGTGCATTTTGCGGGAATTTTTTTCCCCACAAACTCTTGTCTGGCATGGAAGGACTTGGAACAGAGCTACGCTGGCTCTGGCAACAACAGGAAAGTACATTTTAGATAACCCTTTAGAGTGCAAGCTTTGTAGCTTTAAGGGCTTTTCTGTGGGGATCAGGAGGAAGGGCTGTCCATTATCCAAAGTCTATTGCTGTGGGAAGGGTGCCCATGACTGCAAAGGTCTTTGGCACAGGCCACGAGCATCTGAAGGCTGCCTCTGAGAAATGGGTATGGGCTCACAGTTCCCCACAGGGTGCAGTGCAGAAACGGCTTCAGGAAGAGAGAGTGCTCTTTCACCGGTCATCCCAGTGCATCATTCATTAAATATAATGCCCTACAGGAAAATCAGGGTTTCGTGTTTTCCATACCCCCTCCTGCATCAGCCCTGACGTCAGTAGTTTGGAACTACGGAAGTTAAATTAAGGCCAGTGCAGTCTAATAGGCAAGGGGCAGCAAATGCTAAGAAGCCAAGGTAATGAGAAAATACCTGCCATCTGGAGCTGTCATAAGCATAAATTTACATCACTCCCCACAAAATAAATAAATTACAGCCTGCAGAACATTACTCTCCCTGGATGCAAAGCCCCACTCCTGCTGCTGCCACCAAAAATTTTGGCCTCCTCACTTTCTGCATGATCATTGCTTCTGCTGAAAGCCCCAGGGAGATGTGCTTGGGTGCGGAGAGACACCTGCAACCGCTGGCTCTGCAGCATAGTGTCTGGAGTGGGATCTGTTCTGCTGCATCCGCATGCTCCAGTCCTTGCTCTGACGGAAAGTTTTCCTCCTGGCTCTGACAGCAGCACAGCCACTTGGGGAAGCACATGACTTCCTTGGGAGACGGTGTTTCTTATTTGTGTTGCAGGCCTCCAGCAGGCATGGCACCGAGGCAATATTTATATCAGTTTTTGTAACATCATCGCAGCAGCTGCAATTTTGGGAACTGAAGTGCTGGCTGGAAGTGGGAGAGAGAGGCACAAAGCACAACACGCCACATAGAAATGTGGATGGAAGGGGAAAAAAAAAAAAGAAAGAAAATCAGCAACCAGTCTCCTCCACAGAAAGCTCATTGTGTTCCCGGGTGCCAGGGGTGCCAGTTGCCCTTCAGATGGTTACCGCAGGGCCCATCTGTGTAAAAGTGACTCAATGGAAGTTGAAGCTCAGGATGCCTGTGATGGGACCAGATCTGTACCCATAGGGTGCTTTGTGCTCCTGGGGGAGCAGGACAGGGGAAGGGGAGTCCCTCAGCCAGGCTTGTGCTATGCTCTGAACAGTCTTCGGCAGTCACCTCTTACCCTTCGGCCATGAGAAAACACAATGCAACACTTGTGTGCAGATTCTCAGGCTGCCCCCAAAACTGCTGCAGCCTGGTGCTGCACCTTGGCAATCAGCCCTAGCAGGCTCCTTAGCCCAGCTACAAGGCCAGGCTGGTGCAGCCATGCTGCTCGCAGGTCCCCAGCTAGGATCTCTGCTTCATGCTCTGCAGGTATCCTGACTTATGTAAAGCTACCTTGCTGTGCCTGGGAAATCCCCAGGGAGGTAGGATGGGGGTCCTGTCTTCCAGATGGTTTACTTGCTGCTTCCCATTACAGGAATGTGACCCAATTCTCTCCTTTCCAACCCTCTCGCTTGATTTCAGGTGTGTTCAGCCAATAGAGTTTTGAGGCTTCACTGTTGCTATGGGGCTGGAAGTCATAGCTGCCTGAAAGAGAGTAGAGTCCTCTTCACTGTCTCCTGTTCCTTCATCTGTTTTGCAATCAAGGCAACTAGTGACCTTGGCAGTTCCCATGTATGTAAGAGGGCCTCTTCACTGTCCATGCATGCCCTTAGTAGGTGGTTTCTACCTCTGCTGCCAAACAACAGCGGCTGGCAGAACAGTAGGCCCGAATTCTTCCCTCAACATTGTTTTTTTTTCTCCATGCAGCTCCACTAGCCTGTAGAGTTTTATCTCACAGAGGAGGTGTCATACAGTCCCCAGTTACCTTAGAGCTTGGTGGAACTGAAGAAAGTTGATATGAAGCTAAAATGCTTCCACCAGAAACTGCCCCAGACCCCGGTTGTTAAGTGATGCACATTTTATCATGGGCAAGAGCTGAAGGTAATTTGCCCCAAACACAGCTGTTTGGTGCAAAATACCTTCACTGTCCTGGACTGCACAAGGTTTCTAGAGAAAGCTGCTCTGGGCCACCAATGAGCTCTCCATGTCCATGTTTCCCGCAGTCCTCTGCAAGGGGAACCGTCACTGTGTCTGCCTGAGAGTGCTCCGAAATCCAACACCTGAAGTTGCATCGCAGGCACCCTGAGGAAGAGACACCATTAAAGACTGGCAACATGGTAAGCATGGCTTCTTGGATTGTGTCCCTCAGAAAATCCCCTTCAGTCTTCCCCTTCATATGCCCTAATGCCATGAGCAGTCCTACTTTGTCTCACATACTGAAACTTCAGTGCCCAAGCCTTTTCCTTAGCCCAAGCACCCTGAAATGCTCCTGCTGAGCAGAACTGGGATAAGACAGGCAGGGAGAGGGAGAGAGGAAGAAAAGACATGCCAGCAGTGGTGGCAGATCCTTGAAGGTGGTGTGGGGAGGGCTTGGCAATCATTTCAGCACTGTCCTATTGCAACAGGAAGGAGGAGGATATACAGAGGTTACTTAAAAGCCCCCAGCTTTTCCCCTGATTCTATTGCAGTGCAGAAATTCTGCAAGGGAGAAGGAAAAAAAAGACTATCTGAAAATAAGGTACTCTTGCTAACTAAAAAAACCCCTTCCTTTAAGAGGTTACTGCTATTAAATAATTGCTGTGTTTTAAATTGCTGTTTTCAGGGACTTTGGGAAGAAGTTGTCTTCTCAGTCATTAATATTTTCTTAGAAGGGTGGCATGGCTTTTTTATTGCTATATCCCTACACTGAAATAGATGTGAAAGCAGTTTTGAGTAGCTCAAAGAAAAGTCTCTGATCAGCCTACATCTAAGATTTCCCTTAAGGACGTTAGTGGGAGAGAAATAAGTGGATAAGTGCTTTTTTCTTTTCCCTTTTTTCCCTTTACCCTTCCTCTCTTCCCCCCCACCCCCCTCTCTTTTTCTCAAAAGTGGATTGTCTGGGTGCAGGAGTTAGCCCTTTAGATATTGGGTGTTGGTGTGCATAGGGACAAAAATACAATTCTCCACTAATCATCCACAGACTGCTGTAGGCTGTAGTATTTGGCTTGCCTGCAGTATAACTTATAATGTCATTTTTATTAGGGAAAGGTAGTGTCTGATGCACTTTCTGGAAATATAATTTGCTGGTTTGGATTCAATAATGCTGTTATGGAGGGTGGGAGACTGAATGATTTTCCAGTTCTTTTACCTGAAACTTCCTAATATTTTTAGTGTCCTGCTTCTCCTAGGCAAATTATTCTGTGTTAGACTTCCCTCTCCTTCTCCCGCCTGCCCTTCTTCTCTTATTCATGTGTTTTGACAAACACAAAATGCCTTCCAGTCCTTAGAGAGTTGTACTTCATCATTAGACCAATGTTTCTTGCCACTCAGGTTTTATTCTTGTGAGTCTAAAAACATGTAGCTCACTAGCACCCCACACTGCTTTTGGTTTCTCCCATCTTACATGTACCATGCTGGCTCATATTTGCTTTTTCCTTGCACTCTTTCTTTCTTTCATGGTATTACAACATTTTTAAAATAGGATGTCTGAAACAACGAGCACCAGAGAGGAGAAGAAACCTCCTCTGAATGGGAGAAGAGCCCTCCCGGCAAACAACTCCAATGATGAAGAAAATGAGGTCCCCGAGGTGGATCCTTTTGGGTTGATACCTAGAGGATTTAATCCTAAAGGTACAGTGTACAATTAAGCCACAAGTCTATTTTTATATCTTCCCTACTCACTTTAGCTCAGGTCTGTGAACTAAATCCAAACCACTTTTTTCCTTATATGTTTCTATCTCAGATAGCTTTTCTTGCTGCTCATGAATAAACTTACTAAAATCACCCATGTGCATGAGAATGTTACCACAGGTTATGGGTAGGAAACGTGAGGAGTGGAGAAGCTGAGTGAGCAGTTTTCTGCTTGAACTGTGGGATTGGTTAAAAAAGGCAAGGGGTTTCCCAGTTTGATCACAATCACGGAATCACTTTTAGAACCTGCTGGCTTCAGGCATGGTGGTGGCTGCACTGGGGTGAAGAGGCAGGAGTGTCTCCTCTTAATAGCCCATCTCATCTATATGGCTCTAAACTGGCCATAAAACTGCTGCAAAATGTTGTCTGGCAGGGAAAACTTTTGCTAGATGTTCAGCTCACTCACAAAAAAGAACATGAAACTAAAAGGAATACTCATATTTTTATTTGTTCTCCTATGAAATGTTTTATAATTGTTTGGATGGGGAAACAAAACAATATCATAGTAGAGGATGGACAAACCAAAGTACGTTCTCAATGCCAACTCTTTGGAGTAAACCAGAAAAAAAAAAAGGTAAGATTTGGCTTAAAAGAAATCAGGATTAACTCCTGAATGAATCAGTAATGAAATGATGTTAAATTGTTTGCCTATTGGAGATGAACAGCAGAACTTGTTGAATGTCGCAGATCAGGGTAGCCGGATGTAATAATACTTAATGCTCAGAGGGGACTCTTGATCCAGGGTTGAAAGAGTGCTTAATAAATGTGGACAAGCATTAATTACTGTGTTTTACACATTGGGAAGCAGGCAAAGAGATTTTAAGTGACAAGTTGAAAAGCATTATTTCTGTAATCCTAATCATGTGCCTTAACCACACATTCCTCTCCCTCCTCCCCTCCTCCCCCCTTTTAATACACACACATTTCTTTAAAAAGCATTTTTTTTTTTAAATGCCTTAGCCAACCAGTGGTCATGTTAAGACTGCAGAAATTTTGCTTGAACCTATTCAAACAACCCCGTAGCTCTGGGGCAAGTCTGTGTGTTTAAATTATCAAATGTAATGCAGTACAGGTCCTGGCTAGATGTTGTTTCAAACCAAATATGCTCACAGAAGCTGGAAAAGTGTAAGTGTGGGATACCTTAGAAGGAATGCAGCCTGTAGCTAAAGCCCACCAGAACCAGGAGAAAAATTCCTATTGCTTTTTGATGTGTTTCACATCAGGCTTTGAATGAAGTATGGTGCTGGTGGGTGGCAGCCTCCTGCTTTTCAAAAATGCAAGGAAACAGGAATGTTGGGTCAAGTGAGTTGAGGCAGGAACGTGTGCTTAAAGTGATGCTGCTGTTGAGAAAAACATACCTTGTCCAAAGTGAGGGTTTGTGTGGCCATTGGGTAAACCTGGCTATGGGACTGGTTCAGCTGAAAAATAAAGCTGTGCATAACAGGCAAACTCTTATTGTACAGCTGAATCCACTTTGCTGTGCAGTTCTTTCCAATGCTTGTAGCAATGACATGCAAGGGGGGACCTGAAGGGAAGGACTACAGTAGCATTCCTGTTTTGGTGCATGTCAGCTATGACCTAAGCCTGTGATACCAGCTGATATGTGTGGTCCCTGGACATACTGTTTGGAGTAGGATGCTTAAGTCACCTGTCAGACCACATTAAAGGTTTATATTCCAATGGAACTCAGCCTTACGTTCAGGAGCTTGGCCCAGAGCACTATCAGTGTTGTATTAGGGGGATAAAGTGAGTGTCTGTGGCAGAGTGCAGTAGGGCTCTAGAGCTGTGGACACATCTTTGGAGAGGACTGCTTGTGATACCTCCTTCTCCTTCCCTTGCACACCTCTACACTTCTGGGTTGTCAAATTTTTCTGTAGTGATTCCGAGATTTTATTGCCGTAACACACTGAAAAAAGCATGTAAATCCTTTTATCTCTTTTATTACAACTGAGGTGTTTTCTAGCCTTTGGACACCTGCTATAAACATCTAAACCTCTGTGTCTTCACCTGTATCACCTTCAGAGATTGTAGTCAACAGAGAGCCATCCAGCAAGTGGAGGCGAGAGCACAGGCAGTCCAGAGAGTCAATGGATGTCAGTTCCAGGGTCATCTGTACTCTTCCCAGCTACACTGGCTGCAGCAACCAGCCACCAACTGGCCATAATAAGAGGTTACATACCAGGCTCACATCATTTAGATGCCTAAATTTAACTGAATTCTGCCCTTGATCTGTGCAGTGTAGGAGTCTACAGCTGAGCTAGCCACCCTCGTTTCCCTTGACAGCCAACAGAGAGAAACAGGCATTTTTAGGGTGTGATTCATTTGACCTATTTTAACTACTACTCTAGGATGAGGTAAAACCCTGTGCTTGCCTAGCTCTCTGCTGACACCCACTTCTACTCCGCTGAATCACAGCCGAAGAGAACACGGAGGCTGCCGAGTATGGCTGCCTCCCCAGCCTGGTCAGTGGGCTGCCTGCTGTTGGAGCCGGCTTGCTTGCAGGAGGAGATGCTCGGTTAGGGGGACGTGCAGCCCCCGAGTGCTTCTTCAGCAAGAAGCCTGAGTCTCCTTGAACACGCTTGTGCCCGTGTCCTCCCCCTGGCTCATCCTAGCCAGCTCATCTCACTGCAATGTGTTATGAGGGCGCTCGGTGGGAGTACACAGCCCTGCAGCTCCATGGTCTGCAAGCTCCCCACGCAACCTCCTTTGCAAAGTCCGGTGACTCGCCAGGCAGTCGTGCTTCCCCTGCTAGCAGCATGATAGGCACCTCCTTTGGAAATTCATGTTTGTTTGTTTGTCTGTTTGTTTTTGCAATTCAGAGCCCTTCCTCTGGTCCTTCAAGGAAACCAGAAGGCTATTCTTATTATTTGAAAAACAGCTCAAGCTTGTGCTCATTTATTTCCATGCAAACTTAACATTGCAAAAGCTTTAAGAAAGCATCACATTGCTACCCCTCCTGCAGCAAACCTGCTTGCACTAAACAGTAGATCAGGCTACAGGCAAACCCTCAAAAGGACCTGACTTCAAAGTAGGCCTCAATGGCCACTTGTCCCTCACAAACAGATGAGCCTTCCTTTGGATCGACTTCCTTTGGATCGCACCCTGGGGATGGTGTTAGCACATCCCATTACCCTGCTCATGTTTTGTCCTCTGTAATTTCTCTTACTGTAATTAGCACAGGCTCAGTCACAGGTTATCTTCAGATGGCAAGCTCAACATATATTTTAACACCGAGACTGAAAATGAAAAGTGTTTTCTGCAGATGTGTATGGCTGTGTTCTGACAGGAGCCATGTAAAGTCCTGAGATAAAATAAAGCAAATGCTGAACTGACAGCCCAGGGTGACTTAGCTTTGGAGTTCCTTGAAGGGACAGTTCCCTGAAGGGGCTAAGGTAAGAGGGAAGGGCAGGGTTACTGTTGCCTTTTGTTTTAGAACAAGATGAAAACACAACAAACCCTCAACTCCATTTTTATGCCTCCTTGGAAGGAGGGAGAAGCTGAGTCAAATTTTTATTCATAGCTTCACCCCTCACAGGACCCCAAGATACACAGCTTTTACATGCAGTGCTTTCAGACTGGAAGGGACTGGGAGATGTAAGAGGAGAAATTCTCTCCTTCCCTGCCTTATCTCTGCCTGGGAAATTCCTGTCTCATGTAATTTAATTGTGAGCTTTGTCAGCATTTTTGTGAGTGAGCATTGGTAAGTTTTGCAGGGATGGAGGCGAAGACATGACCTACTTCATGGGGGGCAATGAGAATGATTTCTGAGCAAAATACATTTAATGTTTCACACAGGTGTCTCTGTAACTTCATTCAGTGCTAAAGCCAGAGGGGTTTTACAGAAGTTACTCCAGAAGCCTCATGAATTGAAAAGAGAATAATAATGACATTGCCATGGGACTTTAGACCTGACTCATGATTGAACAGGGTATTCCAGCCTTTCAGCAGATTAGGGTTAGCAGAGGGCAGATGGTTTTGGATTCAGCTATCCAGGGCTTTTCCATGAAAGGTTCCTTATCTTCCTGTGTCCTCAGACATATTCCTCTCCTTCTGTTTCATGAAGGACAGGGCTAGGGAGCTGACAGTGATAATGCCAGCAGGAGCGGAATTTATTCCTATTGCCCTTACTCCTGTCTCCCATTAGCTGCTGCCCAAAGCCCAGGTTGGGTGTCTTGGCTGGGGTAGGAGAAGGACAATGCTGGTGTCCAGGGAAGGTGCTGCCATTTGTCCTCAGTTGGCTGCTCTGCAGTGTCTCCCTGCCTTAAAAGAGAGGCAACATGCAAAGCTGTTGTCTGAGCTTCTGTGAAAGGGGTCACATTCAGCCCTCAGTGACTTGAATATCCAACTCATTCAGTGAGCACATCATTCCTGATCACAGTGTACTTAGTAGTAGGCCAAATTAGCCACCATCAGAAGTATACACAGCTCCACCAGCTGCTGTAAATCTGCACCTCTTTTTGCCAGGCATGAGTTTGGTTCTGTCACTGTCACTATAAAATGCAGAAATTAGCTAGTTTCGAACTGTCAGCACCTGGAAAGACAAGCTGAGAGCTGCAAATCTAGCTTTACGTTTCTGTCTCCCTCCTGGTGGTGAGTAGTAATGGTCCTCCTCCTGGCAGAGGTGTCATGATTATGTGCCCAAGCATGTAGGCAGAAGAACGATGTCCAGTTCATTTTCATGTGCTTTCTTGTTATGTTATCTTGGAGAGGATTCCCACTGTGAAGATTCATGGTATGATAAAGTCATGTAGCTTATGGTGACTGCAAGTGCCTTTGGCTATCCCAGTGCCACCCCACACTGGTCATTAGCTGAGTAAACTACTCCTAGCAGTGTTAGGCTATAAGTCTTTAGATAGCCCTAATTTGAAGGGAGCGAAGCTTTGCCTTTGCATGTTACAGATACCTACTGCTGCTTGCCTGTAACTCTATGCTGTAATTATATACTATAATGGTATATATAGTTTTCGTAAGAAGACACTAATAGCAGTGGAGGTGTACTGAGAAGCTGAGTCTAGACACATACAGTACACCCAAATCTTATTTAATATAGGCAATCCAAGCTCTCAGCTGAATGCAAGATCATTAACTGCCTCTCAGGCTCCTCAGCACTCAATACCGGTAGCATTTTGCAGACATTAATGTATTTAAGCATCACAAAACCCCTGTGAATTTGTGTTTTAAAAATGGAGGGCTGCAAGAAGGGAAAAAAAGAAGCCGCAACTGTCAAAGGTCTACTGATTGCACTGGTAAACTTGTGACAGCAAGGCCTAGACTTGCAGAAAGGCCATTCCAAAGGACAGATGGAGCCAAACTCTCCTTGGGGAAACTCAGCTTCCCATGCCTATCAACCAGTTCTTACTGCGATTGCTTTCGCTGTGCACTAGAAGACTTGTAGCCTCCGTGAAAATGGCAAGTGGACAGAGAAGTGTTAGTCCATAAGTCTCTGCTCAGCCGGGGGGGATGTAAGCCCCAAACAGATCCAGCATGCTCTTGTTATGTGGTGTTCCTTCCCCAGAGATGAGGAGGACATGGCCTCTAGTGATGTTGATACCAATACTGACTTTCTAACATACTGACTCCTTCCCCCTCTGTTCATTTACATGTCTCTGCAGATTACCTGCGTGTTGTGGATATTTATATGTTCAAGGACCCCCATGAGATCAACAAGCAGCAGCACCACACTGACAAGTACTACAATCCCAAGCTGATAGTGCGTCGGGGACAGCCTTTCCAAATCCAGATTGACTTCAATCGACCTTACAGGCCAGAGACAGACCAATTCTGGCTGGAGTATTTAATGGGTAAGTGCCTGGCAAAGGCTGTGTCTTATCAGCAAAGGAAGGTTGGTGAGTCTATCATAAACAGGAACATAGCAGTACTTAACGGCTGGGTCTTTTCCTGTTATGATTGATAAACCATAAAAACAGGTTTAACCATAGGCAAGGAAGTGTTTTTCTAAAAAGGGTCTGAATGCTTTCTTGAAAAAAATCAGCAGAATTTCATGTAAGAGAAGAAGAAGCAGTATTTGGGGGTTTCTGTATAGTAAGAAGTTGTACTTTATTGATCTTTCAAAGTTGTATCTGGTTAATGCTGTGTAGCAACATTGAAAGGTAAGTGGAACACGAAACATCTTTTGTTAGTATTTACGAGATGCAGGGAGGAGGATTCTGATGTTTGAGGTGAGAAAAGTAGGAACAGGGATAGCAAAATATTGATTACAAAACAAGGGAAATTATACAGGGTGGAAGAATCTTGCAACTTTGCAGCCTGCATTTACAACCAACTTGGTAACAACAGAGAAAGTTCAAAGACTTTAGCTTTGGACCAGAATCAGAACCATAGAATCATTGAATCACTAAGGTTGTAAAAGCTCTAAGATGTTCAGTCTGACTGTTAACCCAGCACTGCCAAGTTCAGCATTAAAATATGTCCCCAAGTTCCACATCCACATGTCTTTTGAATTCTTCTAGGGGTGGTGATTCCACCATTTTCCTGGGCAGCCTATTCCAATGCCTGGCAACCCTTACAGTGAAGATTTGTTCCCTAATATCCAATCTAAACTAACCACCCCCTCACCTTTTGAGTAGTTGTAGAGAGTGATAAGCTCAGCTCCCCGCTGAGCCTCCTTTTCTCCAGGCTAAACAACACCAGCTCACTCAGCCACTCCTCATCAGACTTGTGCTCCAACCCCTTCACAAGCTCCATTGCTCTTCTCTGGACACACCCCAGCAACTCAATGTCTTTGGTGTAATGTGGGGCGCAGAACTGAACATAGGATTTGAGTTGCAGCCTCACCAGAGCCGAGAGACTTACTCAGGACGATATCAGAAACTTTCTTCATTTGTTGCAGAAGGAGCAAGAAAGCTTTTTCTTCTCACTGTGAGGTCTTCATCAGATACCCATATCCTAACGCATCTGTTGACTCATTGAAGGTACAGGACTAGAGAAGGGCCTGACCTTACTAGAGAAGGGGAAAAACAAGTGACAGAGTGGAGCTTCCTGATATGCTCCAAAGATGGCCCCACCAAATGCTGCTCCCTACAGCACAACTCTGGGAAACCCACAGCTTCATCTAAAGTGATCTGGTGGTTTCTGTGTTAAGACATCAGTGTTTTCCTTATACACTCTTTAAAGTAGGTTATAATTGATGTTTTAATTTACTTTCCTGTGAGAAGCAGCTCTGAAATTTGTAACATTGATTCTTTTCTGTCGTTGAATTATGATGATGTGGGCATTTATTAGATCTGTTGCTTTTTAGAGCTAGATGGGCGTTTATCTCTTAAACATATGTGCAGTGAAAATGTTACTGTCTGCACATTTTTTTTCATGGGTCTCTTCTTTCTAATTTAAATTAGGGTTGGGAGGCATGTTATGACAGTCCAGTGAATGATTGGCTGAAGAGCCACAAGTGCCTTTAAAAATTTAATATGCATAAATATCATTAGTTCTTTTGGGATTTAATTAAATTCAAGACTGTTCCCTTACTCTTTATATGTTTAAAACAAACAGCTGTATCAAGAAGAAGTGGAAAATGGAACATTTGTTTTTTATTGCACTTCATGCAGTTTGCATTTGTTTTAATCAGATATTCTATATTGGAAGAAGAAAATTAACACTTCTTTTGACACTGCACAGTCCACTTAAGATAACACATTCATTTATTTTTCTGATGCTCTTTCATAATACATTCATCCACTGTTTGTACCTTGAATCTCTAAGCATGGATAAAAGTCCCCTCATCCTCAGACGGAGTAGGGAAGGGGTTAAATGCAGCCTGAGCCAGGGGAGACTCTGTAACAAACTCATCTCTGAATGATTCCTTTGGGTCAGCCCTGAGTCTGTGGTGGAATTCCTCTCCCTGTTCTTCACTGTTATTGTCCTTTCTGTGAAATGAGACCAGTGTCCATGTGTGGTGGCTGACAACTGGCTGCAGGGAAGGGCTGCATATATAGGATAGTGTACGACACTACTACCCTCCCTTGCTTTTATGTGTTCACTTCTGTGAGCACCACTGCCCTCTTGCTACAAGGACTTTAGCTCACAAAGATTCAACTGGGAGATGTTCAGGCTCCTCTTGTAGGAAATGGTCAACACTCAGTGCTCCACAAAAGTTTCTCTCTGTGAACATGTGGTGAAAACGCAGTATATTTGTTCTCAGAGGCTAGCAACAAAAAGCAAAACAAAACCAGTCCAAAATGGGGAAGGAAAATTTAGAGATTATGTGCTTGACTCTTGCTACTTCTCCTTTTAGTGGCAAGTCCAATGTTTAATGCTGAGAAGAAAATATTTCTCATACTTAGTAAAGAGCACTGAGTGCCGAAGGTCTTAGTGCTGTGCTCTCAAACCTTTTGTCATGGGAAGACATGGCCATTTTCATCCAGTTTTTTTCTGTTTGTCTTCCTGAAGGGCAAGCATTCACCTCTCCTACTGCCGGCAGCCTGAACACCAGAGCCCAGTCCAAAAACTCTTACCCAGGCTGTCTGTGAGCGGTGGAGAGAGGCAGGCACCTCCAACTGTAGTTTAACCCTGCTGTTTTAAAATGGGATGAACTCTCTTCTGCTTCCTCTGTTGACTCTCTACCATAGACTAGGCTCTGACTTTAAGAACACTAAAGGCAGGGGAGGTGAATCCTGCCCTTTGGCACTGTCAGGCAGAAGCTACTCCTAGGGAGCTGCTCAGACAACAGCTGTACAGCAGAGGCAACTTGAGTTCAGAGAAGCTTTTTGTGCTGAAAGTATACCTCCTAAGAAAGTGCTGAGTTTGAGAGATTAAAGTGATGGACACACAGAAATATTGCCAGGTTGTTGTAAAATGACCTTTCCAATGAGCTCTCTGTGTGTCTGAGCTGTAGATTTCAAATGGTGCAGCAGAACTGTAAAATAGAATAACCTACATTGGAGGGGCCTCCAGAGGTCTCATCTCTAGCCCTTGCTCAAAGCAGGTCCAGCTTGATCCAGTGTCTTTGGGCCTTGCCCTAGGGACAGGTTTTCAGTAGCTCCAAGGATGAGGATGTTACCCCAGGCAGTGTGGACCAGGCTGCCCAGAACTGCAGAATATTATGAGTGGTTCGAGATTCTATTCTCATAAGGTACAAAGATACTCTGTGGGGATGGCTGGCCTTGGTTCCCAGGGAATTCAGTTGGAGCTCAGAAAATTCAAAGTCCATTTTTGCAGGGCTTTTCCTACAGTGCGGGCTGTTTATACAACAGTGTTGTATGAAGCTATTCAGAAATTATTAGTTCCCAGCCCTGGGAAATTTCCTAACATTGACGCTAATCCATCACAGAATTTTTATCCATTAAATACTAATTTTGCTCCTGAAAAATGTGACAATGGTAATGAATTGATTCTCTGTGTGTGCGCAGAACTATTCTATTTCCGTTACTCTGTAAAATTTACTTTTCCTTCTCTTTTTTTTGCTCCTATTTTTGCTTCTTTTACATCATTAAAAAGATGATTAATGAAGCAAGAAAAGCAAGTAGAGACTGCTTAAATCTTCTAATTGATAATGAATCAAGGGTCCCTGGGACAAATGATTCTTGCGTCATGTAAAACTAGGTCTGAAACACTCACAGAACAACTTTTAATAACAATCTTTTTAAATCCACAGTCCATTTGAACACCATTCACACAGAGGTTAGAATTCATGGGTTAAATTGTTTAAGCAAATATATATGTGTTTGTAAATATATAAATAATTCACCCCAATATCTTGAAAGTCACTTTTACAGATATTCTTCTGTGATGGTTCTTTATGACTAAAGTTGTTCTTGCTTTAACAGACTGTTTTCTGTAGAGTCATCATCGGTGAAATTGACTGAAATGCTAACACGTGAATTATTATAATTCAGTTTTGCACATAATCCTTCATTAAATTAGGACCATACTTGCCTGCCAAAGTATGGAAAACAATAAATGTGCCAAAAAATCCACATGGAAAAATATCCACTTATAAAGAGTAATTGGATGTTATTCCAGTTCTTGTGCTGAACCACAGCCCTGCTGCAGTACCTATGGTTTGAGAGCTGCTCCATCACCACATAGTTCCTACCTTGCCACCCACTTCCTGGCTTTTAGAAGAGGAAAGGTGAGCATCACCACTTGGGTGATACACATTTTATTGGTCTGGGGTTGAGACGAAAGACCCACAAGTGTAGTTGATGTGCTTACATCTAGTTCCCCCCAGTGGGAACAATTTCAGTTTACTTGGAACCCCAGTGAGCCCAGAGCAGCCCATGGACCCCCTCACCCATCTTGGTCTCTCCAGACTACTGTCTTTGTGGTGATGGGAATACTTTGTACTTCTCCTAGCTTTCCCTGATGCAGGCTTAGCCAGGCTGAGCATGACTCCCTCACCTGGGGCAACCAGTTTGTCATGAGTGCCGCAAAGTTTCCTCCAGCACTGCTGCACTGGCAGGGATTTCTCTGAAAAGCAGATGTATTATTAGATGGGCTTATACAGCCTTCAATCTTGCTTTTAGTAGTAGTTTACAGTATGTGGCTGTAAATCTTTAAAAGGCTAATAAGTTTATACAGTGCATCCTGACTCTAATGATATATTTCCCCACATCCTCATAAATTGTTGTCTATTTGGATTTTCCTTAAATGGCTTCATAAATCTATATATGTTGGTCTAGCCCTTAATATTATTATGGACATTTTAGTCATTGACATACTTCTGGAACAATCATAAATTCGAGTCCCCCAGATTACTATCACCTTTCTACATGTGTGCATGTGTGGACACCTACACATCCATCCATATGTTCTCATCAGGCTTCTATAAATCATTGGCTTTTGG